GACATTCACATAAACATCCACTCTCAAACAATGCTCAGTAAATCTTCATTTGAGCAGTGCCCGAAAGAACTTAACAATTCTTCAAGAAATGGCATTTTCTCCAAACAAATAATACATTACCTTAACCACCACATCCAGGTATATCACCAAACATTTTAAATGAAATATATTTCGTGATCTTGAATGCATAACATGAACGGTTTGTAATAACGTCGATATAAGATTTACTACATTAGATTGTATGTTTCCAGTTCTTTCACACGTCCGAAACTAGAGTAACATCGAACATGTTTACATTTAAACTGATCATTTATGTTAACGTCCACTATACTATATCCCTGTAACTTTCTATATCCCTAAACTCTGTATTCTTTTCAAAACAACGCTCTAAGAAGTGTCTGCCATTTCATTGCGCATCATTGCATCAATTTGTAGTAGTAATATTACAAGCTCACTTCAAATATAGCTACTGTCCACAAGTTATCGCAGTCTTGAAACCTCTTTAGCTAACAGCATTACTATTAACGCCGTATTTGTAATGTCCACACCTAAATGGTTCGTTTCATAACCAGGTACTATCAGTTGCTTGTCTTTCATATAATTATAACCTACTACATGCACTATTTTATTCAAATAAAATATCCAGATTAGTTTAAACAAACATTATCTGTGCTCCACACCAGAACAAAACATATAAACCATATAAATAAACTTGTTTGATGACGAAACATAGTCTAATTTTGAGTTATGAGGTTATATCACCGTGTTTCAGTTGCATCATGTGTGTTAAGCTTCTTCGGGCTATGCCCTCACATCACTACTCTGTCCCATGGTGGTTCCTACACTAATTCTGAGTTATGAGGTAATATAAACGTGTTTTAGTTGCATCATGTGTGCTTAAAAGCCGTAATCCAAAATAATCACTTTTAATAAAAACATATTTCATCTAAACCCACAATTGAAACATGGGTTATTATAAACAACTAAATGGCATCAACCACTATAAATGTCATCCATTCAGAAGAACCATACGCTGATTTATTGAATTTGGTGACACAGAATTGAGTTTTATCTTTTAACACTGTAAGCATAAGTCGTGACTTGTTTTTGAAAATATGATCTCCTACAAAGTAACGGTAATACTATTTATTTTCTATATTTTTTTATGTGTACCATTAAGCATGGATTTCCATTGTAGGTATATTTCTGTAAGGAGACACATTATTATTATTGATCACCAAGATGCATTATTGATAACATCACGTGTTGGCCCAATCTAAAAGAAATGCATTTATCGCATCTCTGAGCACAAGTGTGATTATTATGTGACGCGGGCCTGCTAAAGTTTCCTATTAGCTTTAAATAACCCAAAACGTTCATGGTGCTTGAACGAGCTAAGTGAACGGCTGTCAATAGATCATTCACAGTGGGAATGTAACTTCAGCTCACAACCGGGAAGTAGAAACAGAAGTATGCAGATATCTTGTAAGGCTCGGCGGTACATCATACATAAATGTTTTACAGAATAATTTTAATCAATTTCATAATGTAATATTTTAGAAAATGGATACATTATTTCCAGCTAGAAATCATATGAAAATAAAGTAGAATTGATAATCAGACAATTGTCTGAGTGTTACTTTATTGCTATTGTTGTTGATATGAGCCATGTAATTACATGAATGTTTAGAACCATAATTCTCGGCAACAAATGAAAATTCAGAAACTATGGACATATATATGTCAACCAGGAGGACTCGAGTGAAATGTCATAAGTCAATTTTATTTAAGAGCGTTGATCTCAGGCCTGGTTTGAATAATTGAAGTACGTTTTATAAAAAAAACAGTACATTGGGAACACTTACTTTTGTGAAAAGAGTACGATTCCGGATCATGCAAAGAAGTTAAAAACATATGTTGTCCATTTTAATGCAGACATCATGTTCATAAACATTGCCTTACGAATGTGCTGTTTTGCGATCTGTTCCTATAGCAAAAATATTGTGCGAACAAACTGCATGAACCAGTATGACTTGGATTATCTGGTGCCTTTTGAATTGGGAATGTGGGAAGTGTTGATTACAGGATAAAATGTTACTTATGTGACCTATCTATCAAGCAATATCATTGCAAGTAAGATTAAAAAGCAAAATATAAGTTCATATCAACAGCATGATGAATACACTTTTCAATTCATAATTTCTCCTCCACTATTTAGTACATCACAAATCATTAACATATTGATAACAATTTTAAATTTGCAATAAGCAAATCATATTTTACTTCAAAATCCGATATGTGTACTTGAAATTAAATCTAATCACTAAACAAAAA